CCCTGTGTGGGCTGATGGTCCTGTGTGGGCTGATGGTCCTGTGTGGGCTGATGGTCCTGTGTGGGTTCTGATGGTCCTGTGTGGGTCCTGATGGTCCTGTGTGGGCTGATGGTCCTGTGTGTGCTGATGGTCCTGTGTGTGCTGATGGTCCTGTGTGGGCTGATGGTCCTGTGTTTGCTGATGGTCCTGTGTGTGCTGATGGTCCTGTGTGGGCTGATGGTCCTGTGTGGGCTGATGGTCCTGTGTGTGCTGATGGTCCTGTGTGGGTTCTGATGGTCCTGTGTGGGCTGATGGTCCTGTGTGGGCTGATGGTCCTGTGTGTGCTGATGGTCCTGTGTGGGCTGATGGTCCTGTGTGGGCTGATGGTCCTGTGTGTGCTGATGGTCCTGTGTGTGCTGATGGCCCTGTGTGGGCTGATGGTCCTGTGTGTGCTGATGGTCCTGTGTGTGCTGATGGTCCTGTGTGGGTTCTGATGGTCCTGTGTGGGTCCTGATGGTCCTGTGTGGGCTGATGGTCCTGTGTGGGTTCTGATGGTCCTGTGTGGGCTGATGGCCCTGTGTGGGCTGATGGTCCTGTGTGGGCTGATGGTCCTGTGTGTGCTGATGATCCTGTGTGTGCTGATGGCCCTGTGTGGGCTGATGGTCCTGTGTGGGCTGATGTTCCTGTGTGGGTTCTGATGGTCCTGTGTGGGTCCTGATGGTCCTGTGTGTGCTGATGGTCCTGTGTGGGTCCTGATGGTCCTGTGTGGGCTGATGGTCCTGTGTGTGCTGATGGCCCTGTGTGGGCTGATGGTCCTGTGTGGGCTGATGGTCCTGTGTGTGCTGATGGTCCTGTGTGGGTTCTGATGGTCCTGTGTGGGTCCTGATGGTCCTGTGTGGGCTGATGGTCCTGTGTGGGTTCTGATGGTCCTGTGTGGGCTGATGGCCCTGTGTGGGTCCTGATGGCCCTGTATATACTGATGGTCCTGTGTGGGCTGATGGTCCTGTGTGTGCTGATGATCCTGTGTGTGCCGATGGTCCTGTGTGTGCTGATGGTCCTGTGTGGGCTGATGGTCCTGTGTGTCCTGATGGTCCTGTGTGGGCTGATGGTCCTGTGTGGGTCCTGATGGTCCTGTGTGTGCTGATGGTCCTGTGTGGGCTGATGGTCCTGTGTGGGCTGATGGTCCTGTGTGTGCTGATGGTCCTGTGTGGGTTCTGATGGTCCTGTGTGGGTCCTGATGGTCCTGTGTGGGCTGATGGTCCTGTGTGTGTTCTGATGGTCCTGTGTGGGCTGATGGTCCTGTGTGGGCTGATGGTCCTGTGTGTGCTGATGGTCCTGTGTGTGCTGATGGCCCTGTGTGGGCTGATGGTCCTGTGTGTGCTGATGGTCCTTTGTGGGTTCTGATGGTCCTGTGTGGGTTCTGATGGTCCTGTGTGGGTCCTGATGGTCCTGTGTGGGCTGATGGTCCTGTGTGGGTTCTGATGGTCCTGTGTGGGCTGATGGTCCTGTGTGGGCTGATGGTCCTGTGTGGGTTTTGATGGTCCTGTGTGGGCTGATGGCCCTGTGTGTGCTGATGGCCCTGTGTGTGCTGATGGTCCTGTGTGGGTTCTGATGGTCCTGTGTGGGCTGATGGCCCTCTGTGGGTCCTGATGGCCCTGTGTGGGTCCTGATGGTCCTGTGTGGGCTGATGGTCCTGTGTGTGCTGATGGTCCTGTGTGTGCTGATGGCCCTGTGTGGGCTGATGGTCCTGTGTGGGCTGATGGTCCTGTGTGTGCTGATGGTCCTGTGTGGGTTCTGATGGTCCTGTGTGGGTCCTGATGGTCCTGTGTGGGCTGATGGTCCTGTGTGGGTTCTGATGGCCCTGTGTGGGCTGATGGCCCTGTGTGGGCTGATGGTCCTGTGTGGGTCCTGATGACCCTGTATATACTGATGGTCCTGTGTGGGCTGATGACCCTGTGTGGGCTGATGGTCCTGTGTGGGCTGATGGTCCTGTGTGGGCTGATGGCCCTGTGTGGGTCCTGATGGTCCTGTGTGAGTACTGACAGCCCTGTGTGGGCTGATGTCCCTGTGTGGGGCGGGTGTGGAGCGGGGGTGGGGTGGGGCCGGGGTACCCGTTCCTGGCTGGAGCTAGCAAGGGAGTGCAATGGCTGCCATCCTCTCCTAAGGAAACCGGTCCGGTGGGGAGCAGTGGTGTGGTCTGCTGTGCTGTGGTCTGGGCTTCCGTGCCCCAAAGCCCCTGTGTGGGCCTCGGCTCCCAGATGGGTGCTGTGGGAGGGGCTCTTTTGGAGTAGGGGCAGTCTGTGGCTTCCCTCCCAGCGCCTCCCACCCCGAGCCCAGGACGCGCCGGGTCAGGTGCTTGTTGGAATAGCCGTCAGGCAGTTGTACAGAAGGACGGACAAGCTTCGCTGGTAGCTTTTATTTCTTCTGCTCTATGGTCATCAGACCGTTGCGTTACTGGGAAGCAGTCTTGTAGACTTCGCAGCACATGTGTTTTAAAATATCTGATTCTGTGCCAGTCCTCTGAGCACCTCTGCAGAGTGTGTTCTGGCTTTCCACCAGAAACTGAGCGGACCTCACAGCCTGGGACTCGGCCTGGGGCCCAGAAGCTCGCCCTCCCCCCACGGGGACCCCCATGGGGGCGGCCGGCCCGACAGTTCACCACTCCTTTTCACCAGGCAGCCTAGGATCCACCCTTGCCAGTGCCGGGGTCCCGAGAGGAGCAGAGGTGCCTACTGGCAGAGCAGGACCTGGGACCCGCAGGCCGGATCCTGTGGAGAGAGGCTGCGGTGAGCCCTGCCCTGCCTCGGGATGGAGGGGCCGGGGCCGTGCCCTGCCTCGGGATGGAGGGGCCGGGGCTGTGCCCTGCCACGGGACGGAGGGGCCAGGGCCCTGCCCTGCCACGGGACGGAGGGGCCGTGCCCTTCCACAGGACGGAGGGGCCGGGGCCCTGCCCTGCCATGGGACGGAGGGGCCGGGGCCGTGCCTGGGCAGCTAGGGACAGATGGAGGGGCCGGGGCCATGCCCGGGCATCCGGGACGGAGGGGCCGGGGCCGTGCCCGGGCAGCTGGGACGGAGGGGCCGGGGCCGTGCCCGGGCAGCTGGGACGGAGGGGCCGGGGCCGTGCCCGGGCAGCTGGGACGGAGGGGCCGGGGCCGTGCCCGGGCAGCTGGGACGGAGGGGCCCAGTGAGCTGGAAAGGGTGTCGAGTTCTCTGCACGCTCACCCGGCACAGCCCTCACCCCACAGCGTGGGGCAGAGCAGGGGCTCCCCACACTGGGGTGCTCCCCACTCTGGGGGTGCGCCCCGCTCTGGGGAGGGGCTCCCCGCTCTGGGGGTGCTCCCCACTCGGGGGGTGCTCCCCGCTCTGGGGAGGGGCTCCCCGCTCTGGGGGTGCTCCCCACTCTGGGGGTGCTCCCCACTCTGGGGAGGGGCTCCCCGCTCTGGGGGTGCTCCCCGCTCTGGGGAGGGGCTCCCCGCTCTGGGGGTGCTCCCCACTCTGGGGAGGGACTCCCCGCTCTGGGGGTGCTCCCCGCTCTGGGGGTGCGCCCCGCTCTGGGGGTGCTCCCCACTCTGGGGAGGGGCTCCCCGCTCTGGGGGTGCTCCCCGCTCTGGGGAGGGGCTCCCCGCTCTGGGGGTGCTCCCCGCTCTGGGGAGGGGCTCCCCGCTCTGGGGGTGCTCCCCGCTCTGGGGAGGGACTCCCCGCTCTGGGGGTGCTCCCCGCTCTGGGGGTGCTCCCCGCTCTGGGGGTGCGCCCCGCTCTGGGGGTGCGCCCCGCTCTGGGGAGGGACTCCCCGCTCTGGGGGTGCTCCCCGCTCTGGGGGTGCGCCCCGCTCTGGGGGTACGCCCCGCTCTGGGGAGGGACTCCCCACTCTGGGGGTGCTCCCCGCTCTGGGGGTGCTCCCCGCTCTGGGGGTGCGCCCCGCTCTGGGGGTGCGCCCCGCTCTGGGGAGGGACTCCCCGCTCTGGGGGTGTGCCCCGCTCTGGGGGTGCGCCCCGCTCTGGGGAGGGACTCCCCGCTCTGGGGGTGCTCCCCACTCTGGGGGTGCTCTCCACTCTGGGGGTGCTCCCCGCTCTGGGGGTGCTCCCCACTCTGGGGGTGCTCCCCACTCTGGGGGTGCTCCCCGCTCTGGGGGTGCCCCCTGCTCGGGACGGGCTTGGGTCCCTGGCGCCCTCACATCGTGGTGCTGCCAGCACTGAACTCGGGGTGATCGTCCGGGTGGAAGGGCTGCTCTCAGTTCCCATTTTTGCTCCTAGCAGGCAGCTCCTGGCTGCCCCGCTGGAGGAGCAGGCGTGGGCTGTGCCGTGCCACGTGGTGTGGGGTCCTTGTCTGCGGTCAAGGACGCTCCGGACACCTCCCCTCCTGGGCTCTCAGAGCACCAGGTAGCTGGTGTTCTGCAGTGCTCTGTCCAGTGCTCCTGCAGGCTGTGCAGCAAGGCCGGCCCTGCGGCCCTGCAGCCCTGCGACCCTGCGGCCTGCGGCCCTGCGACCCTGTGGCCTGCAGCCCTGCGGCCCTGCAACCCTGCGGCCCTGCGACTCTGCGGCCTGCAGCCCTGCGGCCCTGTGACCCTGCGGCCTACAGCCCTGCGGCCCTGCAGCCCTGCGGCCCTGCGGCCCTGCGGCCCTGTGACTCTGCGGCCCTACAGCCCTGCGGCCCGGCAGCCCTGCGGCCCTGCGGCCCTGCGACTCTGCGGCCCTACAGCCCTGCGGCCCTGCAGCCCTGCGGCCCTGCAGCCCTGCAGCCCTGCGACCCTGCGGCCCTGCAGCCCTGCGACCCTGCAGCCCTGCGACCTGCACCCACACCCGGCGTCACGGCGAGTGTGAGTGCGCAGGGCAAAACGCCACCTCCCTCGGGCCTCCCCACTGACAGCCATCGGCCCATCTTAAAAAACAAACGTAAGCCAACATTCTCTTTTGGCTCTTAGTTAATTTCCCGTCCATTTCCAGCGGAGGCTTGGGTAACGCTGAAGTAAATAGCCCTTCATTTGAAGCTGGTCCATCTAATGAAAGCCATTTTCGTTCCTGTCACTCCATTTGTACTTTTAAAAGTAGGTTCACCGTTGGATGGGCTACGGTTCTCTGAGGACTAGAGTCCGCATGGAGGATGGCAGGCAGGAGGGTGCGGGCCGGTGCTGGAGGCGGGGCCTGGCGAGCAGCACGAACGGCAGGTACGTTCAGTGACGCCCGAGTCCTGGTGAGAGGCACTGCTTGCGCCATCACCCTAAAGGACGGGCGTGAACCCACCTGCTCCGGGCCTTGGGCTGCCGTCCGGGGTGGAGGCGTCCCGTGGGCCTGGTCCCTGTCACACTCCGGCTGGACGGGCACTCTCGAGTCCCTCTCGGTGACCGGCAGTGTGGCCTTGGTGTCCGAACGTGTCCTGCGGATACACACGTGCATCATCACTGCCGTCAGAGCCCAGAAGAGCCCCCCGGCTGTGTCCCTGCCTCCCTGGCAGCCGGGAGCCAGGAGGTCATCCAGGGCTCGCTCTGGGCTGGGGACGGGGAGGCTGGGGCTGGAGAGAACCCTCCACCCCCTCCCCGCCCCCATGGCCTCCGTGTGGTCATTCCAGGAAGCCTGTGGGCCCAGCATATGTCCACAGTGGTGTGGCTGGGGTCTCCATCTGTGCCCGCGGTGCCCCGGGATCAACAGCACATGGAAGAGCAACCGCAGCCACCACAGCCCCGGCCCTGCCCCACTTTCAATGATGAGACAAACCCAGAGGATCGCCAAGGAGGAATCGCTACGGGACAGAACGCAAGGCAGGCTCCGGGTCTTCTAGTACGGGCTGTGATGCAGTTCTGCTGGCTACCCAGCAGATGGCACTGTGGCCGCTCCGTCAGGGCCTCCGGCCGCCCTCCACAGTGCCCCGCCCCGAAGACTGCTTTCAGCCTCAAGCACGGGGAATGACTGCTGGATTTCACACGGTGCTCAGTGGATGGCTCAGGAGCTGCCGGGCCGGGCCGGGCTGGGCCGGGCCGGGCACACTCACCGCTGGGGTTGGTCAGTTCGAGCTGTGCGGCGTGGACATGTTACAGTTTGGGGTTTGGACACTGCCTACGGTGTACCAGCCACAGGTACACGCCTCACGTTTCCTAGCGAAGTGGAGCACCTGGGGGTTAGCTTCAGTACATTTTTTAAAAGGCAGGGGATTGGTTCTTGCATTTGCTCATTTAACTTTGTTTAGCTTCAGTACATTTTTTAAAAGGCAGGGGATTGGTTCTTGCATTTGCTCATTTAACTTTGTTTAGCTTCAGTACATTTTTTAAAAGGCAGGGGATTGGTTCTTGCATTTGCTCGTTTAACTTTGTTTAGCTTCAGTACATTTTTTAAAAGGCAGGGGATTGGTTCTTGCATTTGCTCGTTTAACTTTGTTTAGCTTCAGTACATTTTTTAAAAGGCAGGGGATTGGTTCTTGCATTTGCTCGTTTAACTTTGTTCTCCCTACAGTAATAGGTTTCTTTCATTACACATGGGAAAGCCAGAGCATCAGATGCAAGGAAGTTCTGAAGACCAGGCCCAGCCTCCCGCCAGCACCCATGGGTCCGGCGTGGTCACGGGCAGCAGGCAACTGAGCCAGTCAGCGGCTTGTCCGATCAACCTGGGGCACGGGCACACAGAGTGGCCAGCAGGGAGAGGGCGCGGCCAGGCCTGGAGACGCGGGCACACAGAGCGGCCAGCGGGGAGAGGGCGCGGCCAGGCCTGGAGACGCCAGTTGAGAAACCCACCAACCACACGTCTCTAGATAAGAGTGTTGAAACCACCTCAATTCTGATAAAGCAATCACTGTGCCAAGGTGTGCTTCCGAAGAGCAGCGCAGTGGTAGCTGGGTAGCCTACGCTCCACTGCAGTTCTTTGGCTTGAGCTATTTTCTCAAAAGGAGATGGGTTTTCTGCCTCCGCAGGACCGACGCCGGCACCTGCTCACCGACGGCCACTCTGAAGAGCTTCGCAGCGCCACCCACCCTTCAGCAGCTGTGAATCTGCCGGGGTCTCCCTTAGCCATCCACCCCAGAAAGATCATCGACTCAGGGGTCGCGGGGGGGGGGGGGTCCGGCCGGCCTTGCGGTCGGCTGAGCCGGCTGGCGTGACAGGTGCGGTGGGTATCCTGGCACACGGCTGAGCGGCCCAGAGAACGGGACAGAGAGAAGCCCTAGGGACAGAGCTTTGACCTTGGCTCTGACCTCCAGACACAATGGAGATGCACCCCGTTCCGCACTGGGGCTCTGACTGCTCGAAAACCCGTTTCCTAACGCGTGCAGTAAAAGTGCACAGTATGTAAAGAAGGTTCTAGGTCAAATGGTGGGCATTTCTTAATGTGACAAGAAGTCGCTGGGAGTGTGCAGGATGCTCCGAGCGGGCAGAGCGGACTCGGTGCAGTCCACGCTGCTGTCCGCCTCACCGCTTCCTGTTGAAGACAGACCACGCGCATCCGAAAAGCAAGGGTAGTGAGACGGGCTCTTCACTGGCGTAAGGTGGGGGGCAGCCTCCCCTGCGGGGCGTGGAGGGCCCCAGCCTCCCCAGCGGGGCCTCCCCTGCGGGGCCTCCCCTGCGGGGCCTCCCCTGTGGGGCGTGGAGGGCACCAGCCTCCCCTGCGGGGCCTCCCCTGCGGGGCCTCCCCTGCGGGGCCTCCCCTGCGGGGCGTGGAGGGCACCAGCCTCCCCTGCGGGGCCTCCCCTGCGGGGCCTCCCCTGCGGGGCCTCCCCTGCGGGGCGTGGAGGAGCACCAGCCTCCCCTGCGGGGCCTCCCCTGCGGGGCGTGGAGGGTCACTGGCAGGGACCCAAGACAGGTATTTTCCCTGGGGACCTGTGGACACAGCAGAGCCTCAGACTTGTCCTCTGAGCGTCTAGCACAGTGACATGTCAAACACCAGAGTCTCACGCAAATTCTGGATGCAGCGGGAAAGACCACATTCACGTAACCATCTTCCCCTCAGAGGAGTCTGGAAGAAGCTTGGCTTCCAACCAGAGAGCATGTCGCTGCCATCGGTCAGGACACGGGGCCTGCGTCCACCGCCCCTGGACACCGCTGAGGGTGGGTGACCAGGCACTCACTGCCCAGCATGCCTGGCCGAGGGCGAGGCCCCGGGCTGGGACACCCACGACCCCATCGCACTGTCCGGCCAGCCAGGAGGCCCCGTGTGCGAGCGCAGGAGCGGGCGACTTACCCCCTGCGAATCGCCGTGCAGCTGAAGGCTGCCACGCAGCCGGCGAGAGTCACCACCAGCACCACGGAGACCCAGGTTGCCCGAGGGAGCCGGCCAGAGTCTGCGCAGGAGGAGCCGGTCAGGGTGCCGGCGCTGCCCTCCCGCCTCTGAAGGCCACCAGCCGCCAGCCATGGGGGGCGTGGGCAGCGGCGGTCCAGCGGGGTTGGGTATCGTGTCACACATCGGTGTGTGCCGTGCTGTGTGCACAGTGCTGTCTAGTGTGTGGTGTGCCGTGTGCGACATGCTATGGGCTGTTTGCGGTGTGCAGTGGGTGCGGTGTGTGCTCTGTGCTCTATGCTCTGTGCTCTATGCTGTGTGTTCTGTGCTCTGTGCTCTGTGCTCTGTGCTGTGTGTCTGTGCTGTGTTCTCTGTGCTGTGTTCTCTGTGCTGTGTGTCTGTGCTGTGTTCTCTGTGCTGTGTTCTCTGTGCTGTGTGTCTGTGCTGTGTGTTCTGTGCTGTGTGTTCTGTGCTCTGTGCTGTGTGTCTGTGCTGTGTGTCTGTGCTGTGTTCTCTGTGCTGTGTGTTCTGTGCTGTGTGTCTGTGCTGTGTTCTCTGTGCTGTGTGTTCTGTGCTCTGTGCTCTGTGCTCTGTGCTGTGTGTTCTGTGCTCTGTGCTCTGTGCTGTGTGTCTGTGCTGTGTTCTCTGTGCTGTGTGTTCTGTGCTCTGTGCTTTGTGCTGTGTGTCTGTGCTGTGTGTCTGTGCTGTGTTCTCTGTGCTGTGTGTTCCGTGCTGTGTGTCTGTGCTGTGTGTCTGTGCTGTGTGTTCTATGCTGTGTGTCTGTGCTGTGTGTCTGTGCTGTGTGTCTGTGCTGTGTGTTCCGTGCTGTGTGTTCCGTGCTGTGTTTTCTCTGTGCTGTGTGTCTGTGCTGTGTGTTCTGTGCTGTGTGTTCTGTGCTGTGTGTTCTGTGCTGTGTGTCTGTGCTGCGCTCTCTGTGCTGTGTTCTGGATGTCTCCTGAGGTCTCAGTCCCAGCTGCCCCATGGAGCGGAGCTGAATGGCGGCATTTCCACCATGTGGTTCTGACGTTCTCTGCCTTTGCTGTTTAGGCTCAGGACTGTCCTCATGCAGGAACATCATGGAGGGGCAGGGCTGAGGGGCCGGTGGCGGCAGGTGCTGCCTGTGTCTGGGCTCTGTCTGGAGGGAAGGAGGTGCCCGCCTGGACTGTGGGCCGGGACGGCCGGAGGCCGGCCTCAGGGCGCCCCCCCCCCCCGCCCCCCCGGGCAGCTGCGCCGGCCTTCTTGAGCGCAGAGCCTTCCCCGCGGGCAGTGCCGGTCCTGCCAGGGTCGCCGACCGCGCTGTTGCTGTGCCGGCCATCTGCCCTGCGGCGTTTTCCGGGTGCCGTCCCCTTGTGCGGGGCAGGCGCGGGCCGGCCTGGCGTCGGTCCCTGGCAGGAGGACACTAATACCTACAGCCACGACAGAGAGCAGGTGGCGGGCGCAGAGCACGCACCCACGCAGGTCCTCCCGTCCTCCGCCAGCGCGTAGGGGTCGGAGCACACGCACTGGAAGCTGCCCTCGGAGTTCCTGCACCTCGCAGAGGGGTGGCAGGGCGGGCGTGTCGGGTCTGCACACTCATCCACATCTGCACACACGGTGTGCGGGTGAGCGGCGGCCCTGAGCCGGGCGGCTGGAATCCCCCCCTCCACCGGCTGAGTCGGGTGGCTGGAACCCCCCCCCCCACCGGCTCAGCTGGGTGGCTGGACCCTCCCCCACCGGCTCAGCTGGGTGGCTGGACCCCCCCCCCCTCACCGGCTGAGCCGGGCGGCTGGACCCCCCCCCCCCCACCGGCTCAGCTGGGTGGCTGGACCCCCCCCCTCCACCGGCTGAGTCGGGTGGCTGGACCCCCCCCCCCACCGGCTCAGCTGGGTGGCTGGACCCCCCCCCCCACCGGCTGAGCCGGGCGGCTGGACCCCCCCCACACCGGCTCAGCTGGGTGGCTGGACCCCCCCCCTCCACTGGCTGAGCCGGGCGGCTGGCCCCCCCCCACCGGCTGAGCCGGGCGGCTGGACCCCCCCATCCCCATGACGCACGGACCTTTACACACCGGCGGTGGGGTGCCCTGGCCTCGCAGGGTGCATGCGGCCTGCTCGGGCCCGTGGAGCGCGTATCCGGGGTGGCAGGAGAACACAAGCAGGCGCCGGCCCGACTCTTCACAGAACACGGCGTCCCCGTGGTCCACCGGGCCCGGGAGGCCGCACCCGTCACCTGAGCAGGGCCAGCACGCTCAGGAGGGGCCTCGCCAGAGCTGCGGGGCCGAACCGCGCCCCCTCCGCACGCCTGGCCCCGCCCGACCCCAGCCCCGGCCTCTACGGGAGACCAGGGCTCAGGAACAGAGCTGCTCCTCGTTGCTCTGGAAGTGCTAAAGGGCGGTGTGTCTCTGCATGTGTGTGTGTGCGTGTGTGTCTCTGCATGTGTGTGTGTGCGTGTGGGTCACGCATGGTGTCTGCGTGTCACACATGGTGTGTATGAATGTGTATCTGCATGTGTGTGCATGTGTGCGCGTGTCACACATGGCGTGTGTATCTGCGTGTGTGCACGTGTGTCACAGTGTCGCTGCGTGTGCGTGTGTGTGCATGTGTGCGTGTGTCACACATGGTGTATCTGTGTGTGTGGCACATGGAATGTGTATCTGCGTGTGTGTGCGTGTGTCACACATGGTGTGTGTATCTGTGTGCACGTGTGTGTCACACAGTGTGTCTCTGCGTCTCTGTGTGTTACACGTGGTGTGTGTCTGTGTCACACATGGTGTGTCTCTGTATATGTGTCACATGGAGTGTGTATCTGCGTGTGTGTGCATGTGTGTCACGCATGGTGTGTGTCTCTGTGTGCTCTGGCAAGTGGCCGCCCGGTCCTGAACGCAGGCCTTTCCTGGCGTGGCGCTGCTGCTGCTCAGGACCACTCAGGTCAGATCGTTTGCTCCTGGTCAGCTTCGGTTATGAAGCTGAACGGCGATCCTTGCCTGCTCTGAGCAATGTAGATCTCACCCGCAGCCTCTGGGCTGGGGGAGACCCGGCTCGGAGGCAGGGCGGGCCCCGGGCAGGGCGCACAGGCCCGGGAGGCCAGGCCGGGAGGCTGAGCCCAGATGTGGGCAGACGGCCCCGGAGGCTTCCTGCCGGGAGGGAGGCCAGGCCGGGAGGCTGAGCCCAGATGTGGGCAGACGGCCCCGGAGGCTTCCTGCCGGGAGGGAGGCCAGGCCGGGAGGCTGAGCCCAGATGTGGGCAGACGGCCCCGGAGGCTTCCTGCCGGGAGGGAGGCCAGGCCGGGAGGCTGAGCCCAGATGTGGGCAGACGGCCCCGGAGGCTTCCTGCCGGGAGGGAGGCGCCGCGGCGCAGATGGCTGCTCCTCGCCGGCGAGGTGGGCCGCTTCTTGGAGAAGGGGCTCGGGGCCCAGCAGCAGGGGTCACCTGGCGGCACAGGCTCCGTCCACGCGTCCAGGTCCAGGCCCGGGATGTCCTCGCAGGCCCCGAAGTCCCGGGGGAACTCCGCGGCGCGGAAGGCGTCCGCGGGCGCCCTGGTGAGGCCCGTGTTGTCGCAGACCACCCGGGCCAGAGAGTGCTTCCCCAGCTCGCGCCGCTGCGCGGCGGTGAACACGGGGCCGTGCTCCCACCAGAACCTGCGCGGGGGAGGCGCGGGGTGAGGCGCGGGGTGAGGCGCGGGGGGGTGAGGCGCAGGGGGGGAGGCATGGGGGGGAGGTGCAGGGGTGAGGCGCAGGGGGGAGGCGCGGGGGGGTGAGGCGCAGGGGTGAGGCGCGGGGGGGTGAGGCACGGGGGGGGTGATGCGTGGGGGGGAGGCGCAGGGGGGGGAGGCGCGGGGGGGAGGCGCGGGGGGGAGGCGCGGGGGTGAGGTGCAGGGGTGAGGCGCGGGGGGGGGTGAGGTGCGGGGGGGGGGAGGCGCAGGGGTGAGGCGCGGGGTGAGGCGCAGGGGGAGGCACAGGGGTGAGGCGCAGGGGGGAGGTGTGGGGGGGTGAGGCGCAGGGGGGAGGCGCAGGGGGGAGGCGCAGGGGGGAGGCGCAGGGGGGAGGCGCAGGGGGGAGGTGCAGGGGGGAGGCGCAGGGGTGAGGCGCGGGGGGTGAGGCGCGGGGGGTGAGGCACAGGGGTGAGGCGCGGGGTGAGGCGCGGGGGGGTGAGGCGCGGGGGGGGGAGGCGCGGGGGGGTGAGGCGCAGGGGTGAGGCGCGGGGGGGTGAGGCGCGGGGGGTGAGGCGCGGGGGGTGAGGCGCAGGGGGGAGGCACAGGGGTGAGGCGCAGGGTGGAGGTGCGGGGGGGAGGTGCGGGGGTGAGGTGCAGGGGGGAGGTGCGGGGGTGAGGTGCAGGGGGGAGGTGCGGGGGTGAGGTGCAGGGGGGTGAGGCGCAGGGGGGAGGCACAGGGGTGAGGCGCAGGGTGGAGGTGCGGGGGGGAGGTGCGGGGGTGAGGTGCAGGGGGGAGGTGCGGGGGTGAGGTGCAGGGGGGAGGTGCAGGGGGGTGAGGCACAGGGGTGAGGCGCAGGGGTGATGCGCGGGGGGGGGTGAGGTGCGGGGGGGGAGGCGCGGGGGGGAGGCACGGGGGGTGAGGCACAGGGGTGAGGCGCGGGGGTGAGGCGCGGGGGGGAGGCGCGGGGGGGGGGGGGGAGGCGCGGGGGGGTGAGGCGCGGGGGGGAGGCGCGGGGGGTGAGGCGCGGGGGGGAGGCGCGGGGGGTGAGGCGCGGGGGGTGAGGCGCGGGGGGGGGGTGAGGCGCGGGGGTGTGAGGCGCGGGGGGGTGAGGCGCAGGGGGGAGGCGTGGGGACCCCTTCACCTCTGGGCATGGCCCAGCCCCTGGAGCCCGCCCCACACTGACCACTGCACACAGAGCGGGAAATCACTGCAGGGCCACCGACAGCGGGCTTCCTTCACCTGCACCCTCCCCGCAGTCTGTTTACCGGACGCACACACACGCACACGCACGCACGCACACTCAGGGTCCAAGCTCATGGCTTATGCTCAGCAATGTTTGGCCTGAAGGCAGTGGTGCGCAGGACAGTCTCCCTGCTCACCGAGCGCCGAGCGCCGGCCACACAACTGCCAGAAAAGAAGAGAAAGCAACGTTTCCCTGTGTCTCTTTCTGTGGCTCCCAAAGTCCACTCTGTCCTTCCTGCAGCTTTGGCAGCACCTGGGGTCAGGGTGTAAGAAGCAGGCAGCTGGCACTTCCGACTCTGCCCAGCCGCACGGGCTGGTGCAGGGGCACAGGTGTGTGTGTGCGTGTGCACGTGTGCGTGCGTGTGGGGGGCTTGGCAGGAGCGGGGCGGGCGTCAGGTGGTGCCGAGTTAAGATGGCAGCTCCGACGGTTCAGACTCAAGGGCATTCAGTTCAGGTATGTGTGTGTGTGTGCGTATGCGCGTGCATGTGTGCGCATGTGGGATGCAGATGTGTGTATGTAGCAGGTGTGTGTTTTGGATTGAGCATGTGTATAGGATACAGGTGTACATACAGCGTGGGAGTGTGTACATTCAGGGTGTGTTGGTTTGGTATGTGTGTGTCTGATACAGGCAGGTGTGTTGATTCGGGAGTGCGTCACACTACAGGTGTTCTGGTTGATGCAGGTGTGCAATACTGCATATTGCATGGTGCCAGTGTGTCTTCTTATGGACGTGGTGGAGGTCTGCACCTCGCAGGGGTTTGGGTTCACCTGTCCGCTCCTGGCAGACGTCGGCGAGCCGCCATTTCAAGTGGGCATAGAATGCCACTAGTTTCCCTCAGATTCCTGCGTGTTTGTGTGATGGTGGGGAATGTTTGACCTGTGTCAGCCGGCGTTGTGCCTGGGCTTCTTTAGTTCCGTCACTGGGCCGCTGTGCTTGAGAGACCACCAGGGGGGACAGCAGGCCGGAGCAGCGCGGAGCACACAGACCCGGGGGACCAGCGAGCGTCCAGACGCTCCGCAGGCAGCACCCACCTGTCCCCGTCCCTCAGCGCCTTCATCTGCCTCCCGATGAGGCAAGCAAACAGTGGACCGGTCCTGGCTCCCGGCAGGAAGTCCTCCACCAGGCCGCCCAGCCAGACGTCGATGTTGTCCGGATGTTTGTACAAGTCCATGATCCTGTCCACAAGGCTCCTGTTGGCAATGACCCTGTTCAGGTCAGCTGGCGTCTCCAGTCTCGGCAGGCCGCAGAACTCTCGCCATTCATTGTAGCCTGTGGGGGGGGGGGGGGGTAGGGGTGTTTCACATCCACCTGCCCACAGGTCCTGCTGCCCACTGGAAGCTGGGATTACGGGGTCAGAGCCCCGAGGCAGAGGGGCCAGGACAGAGCCCCCAGCCCTGCCCTGCAAGCCTGGCACACTGCGCTGCTCAGACAGACTCGAGGCGGTATGCAGAGCACGTCTGAGCTCCAGAGTCGTGGAGCTGAGCGGGGATTGCTCAGCAGACTGTTAGTGAGGACTGAGATTCTGAGGCAGGTCCTTTCCCACTTCAGGAGTGCGCAGTCCTCTCCCCCGCCCTGCCTCCCCCGCCCCTTCCCAGCCCTCCCCGTCCAGCGGTCCTCGAGCTAAGGCTGCCATGTCTAACTCCCAGTGCGGGACAAGAGCACTGCACAGATGCACACGGAACACACGTCTCCTCGGGCTCTGCCGACAGAGGACTGGGGGCAGGCGTGGGTCATGTTTGGGTGCCTGGCTGGTGTGTGAGCAGGGGCCTGGTGATGAGCCCCGCAGAGTGGGCAGATGCTCAGCAGAGGCGGGGCCGGGCCGGGCTTCCAGTCGCAGGGAACAGGTCCAGGGAAGGCAGGTGAGAGGAAAGAAGAAACGAACGGACAGAATGGGGTCACCGCTACGTAAAATCTTAAGTTCCTGTTGAGCCATCAGGGAGGCTGGCTGCCCACCTTCAGGCTCCTCGGGGCAGATGTGTGGGCCTCGGTGGGTGTACGTGATGCATGTGTGCATATGATACAGACGTGTGTGTTTGATGCAAGTGTGACGCGGGTGTGCGTGACACAGGGGTGTGCGTGCACCTGATTCAGCTGTTCCTAGAATTGTCACCTTGCAGGGGCCACGGTGGTGCTGTGGTGTCTGTGGTGGTCACGCCCACGCTGGGCATGCTCTGCCTTTCACACGTGGGCAGCTCTGGCTTGTCTCAGAGGCTGGCAGCGGTGTGGCATGTGGAGTGGGGGCAGCCAGGGGTGCTCGCGGGGCACTCTGCGAAACCCAGCATTTGCTGCAGATCTGCCCTGAACACCTCCCCCCCCACCCCCAGGCCTTCCCTCACTGAGGAGCCCTGAGCCCTGGCAGCGAGCTTCCTCTGCTATCTGCCAGTGGGGAGAGCTAAGCGTGACTACCAGAGCTGGGCCTGTCCCCACGCCTGCCCTCTAGGGGCCCTGGATGGTCAGCAAGTGAGTTCTAGCCTAGCCTGGGCTCCACAGCGAGGTCCTGTCAACATGCACAAAGAGTAGCCCACCACAGACAAGAGCCCATCACAGACAAGAGCCACCACAGACAAGAGCCACCACAGACAAGAGCCACCACAGACAGACAAGAGCCACCACAGACAGACAAGAGCCACCACAGACAAGAGTCACCACAGACAAGAGCCACCACAGACAAGAGTCACCACAGACAAGAGCCACCACAGACAGACAAGAGCCACCACAGACAAGAGTCACCACAGACAAGAGTCACCACAGACAAGAGTCATCACAGACAAGAGCCACCACAGACAAGAGCCATCACAGACAAGAGCCACCACAGACAAGAGCCACCACAGACAAGAGCCACCACAGACAAGAGTCACCACAGACAAGAGTCACCACAGACAAGAGTCACCACAGACAAGAGTCATCACAGACAAGAGCCACCACAGACAAGAGCCATCACAGACAAGAGCCACCACAGACAGACAAGAGCCACCACAGACAAGAGCCACCACAGACAAGAGCCACCACAGACAAGAGCCACCACAGACAGACAAGAGTCACCACAGACAAGAGTCATCACAGACAAGAGCCACCACAGACAAGAGCCACCACAGACAAGAGCCACCACAGACAAGAGCCACCACAGACAAGAGCCACCACAGACAGACAAGAGTCACCACAGACAAGAGTCATCACAGACAAGAGCCACCACAGACAAGAGCCACCACAGACAAGAGTCACCACAGACAAGAGTCACCACAGACAGACAAGAGCCACCACAGACAAGAGCCACCACAGACAAGAGTCACCACAGACAAGAGTCACCACAGACAAGAGTCACCACAGAGAAGAGCCACCACAGACAGACAAGAGTCACCACAGACAAGAGTCATCACAGACAAGAGCCACCACAGACAAGAGCCACCACAGACAAGAGCCACCACAGACAGACAAGAGCCACCACAGACAAGAGCCATCACAGACAAGAGCCACCACAGACAAGAGCCACCACAGACAAGAGCCACCACAGACAAGAGCCACCACAGACAGACAAGAGTCACCACAGACAAGAGTCACCACAGACAAGAGCCACCACAGACAAGAGCCACCACAGACAAGAGCCACCACAGACAGACAAGAGCCACCACAGACAGACAAGAGTCACCACAGACAAGAGTCACCACAGACAAGAGTCATCACAGACAAGAGTCACCACAGACAAGAGCCACCACAGACAGACAAGAGCCACTACAGACAAGAGTCACCACAGACAGACAAGAGTCACCACAGACAGACAAGAGCCACCACAGACAAGAGTCACCACAGACAGACAAGAGTCACCACAGACAGACAAGAGCCACCACAGACAAGAGTCACCACAGACAAGAGTCACCACAGACAAGAGCCACCACAGACAAGAGCCACCACAGACAAGAGCCACCACAGACAAGAGCCATCACAGACAAGAGCCACCACAGACAAGAGTCACCACAGACAAGAGTCACCACAGACAGACAAGAGTCACCACAGACAAGAGCCATCACAGACAAGAGCCACCACAGACAAGAGCCACCACAGACAAGAGCCACCACAGACAAGAGCCACCACAGACAAGAGTCACCACAGACAAGAGCCACCACAGACAAGAGCCACCACAGACAAGAGCCACCACAGACAGACAAGAGCCACCACAGACAAGAGCCATCACAGACAAGAGCCACCACAGACAAGAGTCACCACAGACAAGAGCCACCACAGACAGACAAGAGCCACCACAGACAAGAGCCACCACAGACAAGAGCCACCACAGACAAGAGCCACCACAGACAGACAAGAGCCACCACAGACAAGAGTAACCACAGACAAGAGTCACCACAGACAAGAGTCACCACAGACAAGAGCCACCACAGACAGACAAGAGCCACCACAGACAGACAAGAGCCACCACAGACAAGAGCCACCACAGACAAGAGCCACCACAGACAAGAGCCACCACAGACAGACAAGAGCCATCACAGACAAGAGTAACCACAGACAAGAGTCACCACAGACAAGAGCCATCACAGACAAGAGTCACCACAGACAAGAGCCACCACAGACAAGAGTCACCACAGACAGACAAGAGCCACCACAGACAAGAGCCACCACAGACAAGAGTCATCACAGACAAGAGCCACCACAGGCAAGAGCCACCACAGACAAGAGCCACCACAGACAAGAGCCATCACAGACAGACAAGAGCCACCACAGACAAGAGCCATCACAGACAAGAGCCATCACAGACAAGAGCCACCACAGACAGACAAGAGCCACCACAGACAACAGCCACCACAGACAAGAGCCACCACAGACAAGAGTCACCACAGACAAGAGCCACCACAGACCAGAGCCACCACAGACAAGAGTCACCACAGACAAGAGTCACCACAGACAAGAGTCACCACAGACGAGAGCCACCACAGACAAGAGTCACCACAGACAGACAAGAGCCACCACAGACAAGAGCCACCACAGACAAGAGCCACCACAGACAAGAGCCACCACAGACAAGAGTCACCACAGACAGACAAGAGCCACCACAGACAAGAGCCACCACAGACAAGAGCCACCACAGACAGAGAAGAGCCACCAAAGACAGACAAGAGCCACCACAGACAAGAGTCACCACAGACAAGATAAGAGCCACCACAGACAAGAGCCACCACAGACAGACTAGAGCCACCACAGACAAGAGCCACCACAGACAAGAGCCACCACAGACAAGAGCCACCACAGACAAGAGTCACCACAGACAGACAAGAGCCACCACAGACAAGAGCCACCACAGACAAGAGCCATCACAGACAAGAGTCACCACAGACAAGACAAGAGCCACCACAGACAAGAGCCACCACAGACAAGAGCCATCACAGACAAGAGCCACCACAGACAAGAGCCACCACAGACAAGAGTCACCACAGACAGACAAGAGCCACCACAGACAAGAGCCACCACAGACAAGACAAGAGCCACCACAGACAAGAGCCACCACAGACAAGAGCCACCACAGACAAGAGCCACCACAGACAAGAGCCACCACAGACAAGAGTCACCACAGACAAGAGTCACCACAGACAGACAAGAGCCATCACAGACAAGAGCCACCACAGACAAGAGCCACCACAGACAAGAGTCACCACAGACAAGAGTCACCACAGACAGACAACAGCCATCACAGACAAGAGCCACCACAGACAAGAGCCACCACAGACAAGAGCCACCACAGACAGACAAGAGTCACCACAGACAAGAGCCACCACAGACAAGAGTCACCACAGACAAGAGTCACCACAGACAGACAAGAGTCACCACAGACAAGAGCCACCACAGACAGACAAGAGCCACCACAGACAAGAGTCACCACAGACAAGAGCCACCACAGACAAGAGTCACCACAGACAGACAAGAGCCACCACAGACAAGAGCCACCACTGACAAGAGTCACCACAGACAAGAGCCACCACAGACAAGAGCCACCACAGACAAGAGTCACCACAGACAAGAGTCACCACAGACAGACAAGAGCCATCACAGACAAGAGCCACCACAGACAAGAGCCACCACAGACAAGAGCCACCACAGACAGACAAGAGTCACCACAGACAAGAGCCACCACAGACAAGAGTCACCACAGACAAGAGTCACCACAGACAGACAAGAGCCACCACAGACAAGAGTCACCACAGACAAGAGCCACCACAGAGAAGAGCCACCACAGACAAGAGCCACCACAGACAGACAAGAGCCAC